CCTCCTTCTGGTCAGCCTGGGAGGCCATGCCCGAGTCACTCTCCTCATCGCTGTCCATCAACACCATGTTGTCACGGTCCTGAGGCCGCTCTTCCTCGATGACTGAGAAGGTGCCAGGGGGCTCCTCCCGCAGCACGCCCTGCTGCAGCCACACGGACATCCGGCGCCGCAGCAGGGCCACGGGCATCTTCACCGCCTTGCTCAGCTCCTCCAGCGTCCAGCTGGCTGTGTGCACAGCAGGGGGCGTGCGGGGGATCACCAGGCCAGCCCCTGCTCCGCTTCCCCAGGGCTGGCAGAGATGCCAGGCTAGCCTGGACACCCCGTGGCCCACAGACCCCGAGCAGGAACGGGAAGGGGCCGGCAAGTGTGCTCAGCGAGGCCCCAGACAGCAGCTCAGGGACACCAGCAGGACGGGACTCACCATGGTCCTGGAAGTAGAGCAGGATCACAGCCTGCACAGGGGTCACGGCCACAGACAGAGTGCGGTCGGCCAGCTCCACGTCCATGGTCACCAGGCCCAGCGTGTGCTTCCAGCTGAGGGTCCGCATAGCCTGCAGAGGGCCTGGCTCAGCACACAGCCCTCCCTGGGCCCCTTGGCTGTGGGACCAGGGCCATCTGGGCGGGTGCTGCCAAGTCTTGCCATGACGCCCAATGGCTCCAAGGGTGGGGCGGCGTGGAGCCACCTCACGGATGGAACGGGGCAGGTGGAGGGGCAAGGACGCAGACTGTGGTGCTGGGGTCGCAGGCAGGTACCTTCAGCTTCTCGTACTTCTTGCAGTAGACGTCCAGGGCCTCCTTGATGTCCTCTGGGACCTCCAGCTTCTCGTCCTTGAAGGGCGGCCAGAATTCGCTGGACAGGATGACCGCGTAGACCCCAAACGGAGGCTGCTCCTCAGCAGGACGCTTCTCGTCCTCCTCGCGGATGTTGGCGTTGATGCGCCGGGAGTCCGCCATGTCCTGCGAGAGGGGAGTGTCACCAGGGGCCAGGCCAGCTGCAGCCTGTGGGGCCTGGATGCTGGGCAGCGCCCACCTTCAGCATGACCTCACAGAAGTGCATCGGGGCCTCGCCAAAGCGCAGCTTCAGCAGCTCCACGTTGCGGATCTCCCTGGAAGAAGGAGCCTCGGGTCGGGCTGGGCTGGGATGTGAGCTCTGCAGTGCCGGGAGCCCGGGCCCGGAGAGCAGGCACACACCCCAGGGCCGCCCCCTGGCCGGCCCGGCAGCTGCTGGCACCCGTGTGCACGCTGGGTCCGCAGCAGGGCTCACCGCTCCGGGCTGAAGCTGAACTGGTGCAGGAGGCGGTCGGCGAGCAGCGAGCGGTACTCGTTGATGAACAGGTCTTTGCTGCCGTAGATACTGACCAGCAGGCTGATGATATCCGAGGAGCGCCGCCGGGAGCTTGACTGCCCTGCAGGCACCCAGACACCGCTGGCACCGCTGCAGGACCTCCCCAGCTCCCTCAGACTCAGGGAAGATGCAGAAGACCCTCATTTTCCCCTCAGAGACCAGGAAAGGCTCACCTGTGCCAGGGAGGCCTCTGAGCCCTCAAGGATCCCACCTGGGTTAGACCCAGGCCACAAAGCCATCTGCCTGCTAGCACCTGGGGCAGCAGGGGTGGGCGGGGCAGCAGGGGTGGGCGGGGCAGGAGTGTGTGGGACAGGAGGTGGCAACATCCCCCCAGCCCCCAGAGCTAAGCAGCCTCAGCCAAGTGGGTCTAGCACAGCTCCCTGGGCTCTTATCGCTCCTGGCACATGTGGTTAGCACACGGGACCATGAGCCTGGTGGGTGCCCACCCCTCCCCAGCAGACCCAGGCTATTTGGCCGAGGCCCAGCCCCCCTACAGACCGGAGGGGTGAGCTGACCTGGGTCGGCATCCACGGGGTCAGGGACCCAGTCTTCAGGCTCGCCGGAGTCATCCTCGCTGTCCTGGCCCGTCTCCAGACTCGCAGGGTCAGTCTTGGACAGCTCGACCGCCAAGTCCCCGGTCCCATCAGAGTCCCCAGTCAGCCCGGCCACAATCTGCCGAACAGTATCCTCCCGTGTCCTGTCAAGGTACAGGCACACACGGCACGTATATGGGGCTGCCCAGATGGCCCCAGGCCAGCCTGTGTGTCACACTGACAGCTGGTCCACCCAAAGGCCTGGTGGACTTGGTCTGGCAAAGCCACGAGGGGCAGCGGCGCTGAGGGACATGAGGGGCAGGCTCTGGCCAGTGGGCTACCTCACCTCAGGTAGCGGCGCACGGGCTCACAGGCCACCTCCAGGATGACCATGGAGGAATCCAGCACTCGCAGGGCCTTGATGGCTGAGATGTAGAGCGTGATGATGTCACACGTGTTCACGCCTACAGCCAGAAAGACCAGGTGGTCACAGGGATTTTGGGATGGTGGGGCCAGGACAAGCTGCCCATCCTCCCCCACTGCTGGCCAAACTCAGGGCAGCCTGTCCAGGGAGCCCCCACCTCCATCAGCCTCATAGGAGCCTTCCCTAGAACTTTCTAAGAGGCCCCTCCCCATGCCAGGCAGTCTCTCCTGAAGATGTCTCAGACCACCACTGCCACAAAACCAAACTCAGTTTCAGAGTAGGGCTGGGCTGAGGCCACCGTCTCCCTGAAGAATGTCAACCATCAGCTTTGCCAGGCCCCAAGGCTCCTGCGGCTGGACCACCTTCCTGGAGCAGCACAGCACCTGGGTGCAGGAGCCGGGTCTCCAGGGCCGCCTTGAGTGACTCCAGCAACTGCTGCCTCTGATTGGTCCTCTCCAGGCAGTACTTGAGGTCCTCCACGGCCGGCCGCGAATCTGGGAAGTCTGTGGAGCATGGCTTCCTCACACACACACCAGGCCACGCCACAACCCCAGCACCCCGGGCAGGTGAGGAAGCCCAGACAGACAGCTGAGGGCCTGGAGAAGGGGCAGACCTCGAATGATGCTGAAGAGCTCCTCGATGCGGAGGCCGGCGTAGATCCGGTAGAAGAACCTCTGCACGTGGCAGCGCCAGCGGCGCAGCGTGCTGCCAGCCTCTGGGGAGGCGGGCCTGGCAGGGCCGTCCTGCAGGAACACCTTGCCAAGCCAGCCGACCACCCTCTCGATCCACTGTGGGGCAGGCACGGTGTGGGACAGAGGCTGGGAGGGCATGGGTATCCCGGGCCCCAGCTCCAGCCCACTCTGTGCACAAGACCCCCATGCATCTGCACCAACCCCGAGGTCACAGACACGTGAGATGTTGCATGAACATGTGTCAGTGGGCCTCATCCACCGTCCACCTCCACCAACCCCGAGGTCACAGACACGTGAGATACTGCGTGAACGTGGGTCAATAGGCCCTACCCTTCATCCACCTCCACCAACCCCGAGATCACAGACACATGAGATACTGCATGAACATGGGTCAGTGAGCCCCACCCTCCGTCCACCTCCACCAATCCTCAGGTCACAAGCACATGTCAGGCGTGCACGTAACCAGCGTCCATTCTTTGCAAATAAAGCAGAGGGATGGACTCACTCCCGTGCGTCAGCGCACGTGCCTATCTCCCTGTGCATGAGTGTGTACACACACACACGTTTGCATCTCAGATCCCGCCACAGGGACACACTGTGGTACGCTGCCACAGGGATGTCTGAGCCGCCCAGCCTGGTGCCCTGAGAGGCCTAGCCTCGCTCTTGCACCTGGACAGCAGCACACTGCCCACTGCCAGGGCTCAGCCCACTCTGCTCTACCATCTGGAGCCACCCAATTTTACCTCCCTCAGAGGGAGACCGTTGGAGACAGTGGCAAGGGAACTGGTGGGAAATGGAGAGCTGGGTAGCAGCACAAGGCTTGGCCCCACCTGTCCACCAGCTCTTGGGGAGCCCCAGACTTGTCTGTGGATGGCACAGTACCACAAGGCCTTTGTCACACTGTCCCACCCATCTCGCCCACCACTCTGGTAGCTCCTCCTCCCCGGCCCCACAGGGAGTGTGCAGCCCACACTGCGGTGCAGGCTAGCTGCTAGGGAGGGACAGCAAAAGGAAGAGGGTCAGTCTGTCCCACTTTGGTGGTTCTGGCCACACGGCTGCTCGGCCCCAGCATGGCCCCAGCACTGCCCCAGCTGCTGGACTCTGTAAAGACCCCACCCAGCATGTGGGCACAATGTGGTCAGTGCAGGCCCCAGAATGGCCTAAAGGACCTGCATGTTTCCAGCCCTCAGTCTGCACCCTGGCTTGTTTCCAAAGGGAGACAGGTGACACAGGCAATGGGGAGGCAAAATGAGGGCAGCATGGGAGACACAGGGAGGGGAATGGGGGTTGCATGGGGGACACTGGGGGGAGAGTGAGGGTGGCATGGGGGGCATGGGGGGAGAGTGAGGGGGGCATGGGGGAAATGGGGGCAGTGGGAGGGACACAGGGGGGAAGGAGGGCAGCATGGGGGACATGGGAAATGGGGCTATGGGGGGAATGGGGGCGGCATGGGCGGACATGGCGGGGCAAGGAGGAATGAGGATGGCACAGACGCAGGGATATGAGGGTGGCGGGAGGGACATGGGGGGAAGGAGGGTGGCAGGATGGGACATGGGGGAGAGGGCAGCAGTGAGGGTGGTGTGGGGGGCACCTTGTGGAACTCCCGCAGGAAGGAGCGCTCGAACTCGCCCCGGCAGCGGTCCTCCATCCTCTCCCGGGTCACCTGGTGCAGAGTGGTGGTCACGGCCTCGGCACTGACCCGCTCCAGCAGACTGAGCCTGTGTCTGCAGACAGGCGAGTGTATGCAGCATGAGAGGGTGCCCACCTCCTGCACGCCAGGGCGGGCCTCCCCTGGTGACAGCTGTGCCAGAGGCCCCATCATAGAGCTGCTGTTAGGGCCTGCCCAGACCGGGGTGATGGCCACCCCATAGGCAGCAACAGCAGGGGTGGGCACCAGAGGCCCAAACGCCATCTCCCTGGCCTGGTTAGCAACAGCAGCTGAATCACTGCTCCTCAGGCCAAGTAAACACAGCTGCCACTGTCTGTGCCCCAGTGTGAACCGCAGCACAGACAGACAGACTCACAAGAAGAACCTCCTACCACCTTCTGCTGGGATGAGCCGGCAGAAGCCCCGCAGGGCAGGAGCAGTGGGATCCCTCCTTTGGTCCAGATCCAATTAAGAGACTCCTCCCAGACCCCTGCACTGGCTCTACGTGACAGACTGTAGCTGAGAGGGAGGCCCTCACAGCAGGGCCTGGCTGCAGCAAACTAAAACTCCTCTACAAAGGCCGGGGAAGGAAACCCGCCCACCTGCCCTGTCGGCCCAATCTCCCTGACATGACCCTGCTCACTGCCCACCATCACAGCCACCACCACCAGAGGCAATGTGCTCCCGCCGGGTCAATGCCATTCCTCCTCGAGAGCCCGCAGATGGCACAGCAGAATCCCGGGGAGCTAGAAGTTTGGACTCAACACAGAATCTGCTGCAGATACAAGTCCCCTCCCTCTGGGATGTCCTCGGCTGTCCGGACAGATGGCAGAGAGTCCCAGCTCTCTGTCACCAGACCCAGAGGAGCCACCAGGGAATCAGGAGGCCCAGGGGGGCCTGGCAGCACGGGGGGTACTCACAGGACCTGGCTGAGCTGGTGGAACTGCTCCAGGGCCTGGCGACACCAGCACTGCTGCTTGTCACTGCCACACCCCGCGCACAGCGGGCTCTGCAGGAGCCGGTAGTACCGGCGCCGGGCATACCGACTGTCCAACTCCCCCTCCAGTTCTGGGTCGGTGCCGCCTTCCCCCTTTCTCTTACTCTGCATATAGACTTTCAAGAAGCGCCCGTAGAGGCGCTGGACCATGTCCTGGAAGGTTCTGGGAGTGGAAAAGAACAAGACACCCCGCAACATGGTGTGGACCTTTTCCCGCAGCCCCTGCGCACCGGCGCCCATGAGCAAGCCTAGGCGAGTCCACTTCTCCAGAAGCTCTAAGCTGCGCAGGTAGGGACCCAGACGGCTCTCCAGCAAGCCAAATGCGTCCAGGAGCAGCAAAAGGCACTGGGGCTCGTCCGCAGCGCTCTCGTGCTTGGAGACAGCATTCCAGAACTCCGGAGAGACGCTGGCCTGCAGGTCGCTCTGCAGCACCTCCACGAACCACTCCTCCAGGACCGAGTGCAGACCGTGGCTCCGTAGCACCTCCACAGCCGCGCGGAGCTCTTCCTCCTTCGGTGGGCCCGCACCGCTGGTCCGAGAGGACGCCTGCGGTGCAGAGCACCGTGAGGGGTGGGCGGAGCACAACAGAGCAGGAAAGGGGAGCAGCAGGCGGGGAAAAGTGGGTAAGGGAGCCGAGGGGAGGCTGCGGAAAGCCGGCTGCTGCTCCCCGTCCGCGGCGCACGGATGTGGGGCCGACGCTAGTGAGGGGCTGGCACGGGAGCCGAAAGACGAGGTGCTGCGAGCAAGGAGGGAGGGAGGGCAGAGGCGGGTGATGACACAGGTGGCTGCCCTAACGCGTCTGGGGAATACCGAGAAAGCCCGCCAGTCTCTTCCGAGCCTCACCAGCCCCAACGCAGCCGGCGGCACCAGCCCGGTGCTCACGGTGTTCCAAGCCACCAAAAGTTCCTGTCCGAGCGAGGGGTCACAGTCCCCCTGCGCCTCGGTCGCCTCCTCCGCCATCTGGGTTCACGGGAATACCAGGTCAGCCCGACTGAGCGCGGTTCGATGACGCACGGACTAGGCGCGGCGCGCGGTAATGATATGCGAGTTGGGCGCGGCGCAGAGTGATGACGCAAAAACTGCGCGCGGCGATGATACTAGGTCGTCGCGCCGTCCAGTCGCATTGCGCAGGCGCGAGCAAGTGATGCGGTAACGGCAATCCGAGTGGCCGGGGCCCCGGGTGGCGAGGGTGGGACTAGTGTCCGGCAACGATGACCCAGCAGGGAGCGGCGCTGCAGAACTACAACAACGAACTCGTCAAGTGTGAGCACCTCCCCGCGCGGTGTAACCTGGGCAATCGTAGGCCGCCTGCCGGTTTCTCTCCGGAGCGGGCCTGGGCTGAAGGCTGAGAAAGCGGGCGGGGGCGCGAGCCCCGTCGTGCAGGAGCGGGCAGCAGAGGTGTGGCTCGCAGTGCGCGCGGCCGTGTAGTAGTTGTGTGGTCGTGGGCAGGTTAGTGAACCTGTGCGTGGGTCTTCTGGTCCTAGAGCGGCTCGGCGCTGCAGTAGGACGCCTCCTGGTCCAGGCGCTGAGACTTAAGCCGGTGAGTGCGCTAAGGAAGGAGCTCTGGAGGCGCAGTGCCTAAGGCATCTGACTGCTAACCAGAAGACTGAGGGTTCAAACCCACCAGCTACTGCTGGAAGGAAGGCTAGGCGATCTACTTCCGTAGTGATGCTGCCTCGGAATCCCAAGGAGGGGCGCAGTGAGTCGGGTCCGACTCCACGGCAGTGCGTTTGGTTTTTGGTTGGCGCGTAAGGAGCGTGGGTTAGCCCCTGGCACGTGCCAGGCGCCGTGAATTTGTCTAGCGAGTAAAAAAAGGCTTGAGCTTCGCCTTCCAGGCTCAGCACTCGCTCGCTCGCTGCGCTAACGTGTTCCACCCCCATGCCCCTTGGGAGGCAGACTCCGCCTGCCTGGAGGGAAGGTGGCCCAGCCGGCCCTCGCTCTCCGTCCTGCCGCCCCAGGCATCGAGGAGCTGTGCCAGAAGCGAGAGGAGCTGTGCCGGCAGATCCAGCAGGAGGAGGACGAGAAACAACGGCTGCAGAACGAGGTGAGACAGCTCACGGAGAAGCTGGCCCGCGTCAACGAGAACCTGGCCCGCAAGATTGCCTCTCGCAATGAGTTTGACCGGACCATCGCGGAGACGGAGGCTGCCTACCTCAAGGTGGGGTTTGGGGCAGCGTGAGGCAGCATGGCAAGCACCATGGGTCTGGGGCTTTGGGCCTTGACCCCAGGCTTCTGTCCCCTCCCCAACCCTGCTGCAGCCCAGGGGCACTGAGCTGTGGGAATGAGGGGGTGCATCTCCCCAACACCTAGGCTGGGGCTATGTGGAGCCTGGGTGTTCCAGCCTGTGTCCTCACACCACGTTTGTTACAGAGAGTGAAGCACAGGCCAGACTCGGGGAGGGAAGAGGGCCCTGCCCCCGTGTGGGGCACACCAGTGATAGGCCATGTCTCCTTTGGCCCCAGATCCTGGAGAGCTCCCAGACCCTGCTCAGTGTGCTGAAGAGAGAAACTGGGAACCTGACCAAGAGCACAGCCTCGGAGCAGAAAGCCAGTGGGGGCAAGGACAGCTAACGTGGCCCTTGGTGGGCCAGGGGCCTGCCCCCCTCTATCCCCAGTGACTTGGTCCCCAAGAAACTTGTTCATAAAGCATCGTTGCTCATGCAGCAGCCACCTTCTCTTTCTCTGGGACCAAGAGGCAGCTATGGCCTGTCACCTCTGGTGGCTCCATGATGCTCCCAGGGGGCCAGGGCCAACTCTGTGCTTCTCCTGGTGGGAGGTGGGGGGGAGGGCTCTCACCTCCCTGGGCAGCTGGGAGGCCCTGACTCTAGTCTCAGCCCCCAGGAGTTCTGCCTCCCTAGTCCCTCCTCCGCCAGCAGAGGCCCAGGCAGATGGGTTTGTCTTCCTCCTAAGAAGCGAGAGCTGAGAGAGCACCCAGAGTGCCCCATGACTCTGTGACAAAGGGCTTGTAAAGAATTCTGCTGGCCTGTGTGGAGCACTTGGGTTGCTTGCCACCCCCAGGGCTGGCCCACAAGACTCTGCCTGGCTGTGGTGGCTTCCCCCATAGGAAGAAGTGACCAGGAGTGGCTTTCCCTGTGACTGGGAACCTCATTCTTGGGAACTCAGAGTGCCCCTGCATGTCGAATATGACCCTCCTGCACCTACCCGCCCAGGTCAGCCCAACCTTTGCTCCATTCACAGCTGCTTGTCCTCCCTGCTCCCTTCACTCACCCGTCCCCCCAACCCAGGACATAGCCTGTCCTTCTGTGAGGGGCTCCAACTACCGGTACTGTTCTCTGCTGTACCCCGGCCTGGCCCAAGGCCTGCTGGCAATGGCTGGGTGTGCATGCCAGTCTCTGATGTGGCCACTCGGCTTTACACCCTCTGCCCACTTCCCTTCTTCCCTGTAGTGCTGGACCCCATCCCCCATCCCCAGACCCCTCTAAGACTGCCTCTTCTGGCACAGCCTGCACCCTGGAGGCCCAGCACTGCAGCAACCCGCTGCCCTTCCCCTGAGCCAGCCCCACACACTTGCTCGTGGCTCTGACTCTAACTCCCTAGGAGGGACAGTCCTTGTCAGCTCTACCCATGGATTTGTAAACAGGCCTGTTTAACCTGCACAGGGCAGCAAAGCTGTCGGGGCCAACAGCCCAGCCAGGAGCTGCTCCAGAGATGGCAGCCCTGGCCTCAGCTTGCCCATAACCCCCCCCAGCATCCTTGGGATTTCCCTGCTGGTGCCAGTGCCCACCAAGGGCACCGCGTCTGCCTGTCAGCCACAGCCCTGACTCCGCCAGATTAAGACCTTCCAAGCCAAGCACATCAAGATCCCCCGGGCCCTGCCCCAGACCCACATTTGGCCCTTGCTCTCTACCCCTGCCAGGCTGAACCCTTAATGCTTAACAGAACCAACTCAGGCCTTGGCACAGAGACCCAGCTCTTAGATGGCAGGTCAGTGCCTTCCTCCTAATGAGGCCAGCTCTAGGTGTGGGTGCTGCACCAGGCCCCCCAGCACTCACTGAGGGGCCCACAGGAGTGGAGGCAGGACAGCTGGGGCTGTAGAGGAGATGGAGGGGCGAGGCCCTGGGCCCTGCAGACTGCTCCGTGGAACCCTGCACCCTGCATCCCCAGTGCCTCGCCAGGTGGACCACCCAGAGGCCAAGCGTTGTACAGTGCTGTTTATTGAGTCTTGTTCCTCAAGAAAGTCTTCCTGTTTATCACTCAAGGGGCCAGCCGTGCTCAGCCACGTTGGGCAGTGCTGGCTGGGCCGGGGAGCCCCCACAGTGCCACTAGGCAGGGCGGGGAGGCAGTGCTTGGCAGGACCTGTGACCCCACTGCTGCACCTCGGGAAAGAGCGGACATCAGACACAGTCCCTGAGCACCTGACTGCCCTTGCGTGGCCAGCTGAGCTGTGAGCCCTGGGGAAGGGAGCATGTTGTGGGGAGGGCCTGGCAGGGGTCGGGGCGGAGCGAGGGGCGCTGGGTCCTGGCAGGATCAGAAATAGAGGGCAGGTTCACTGCGGAAGTCCGACAGGTCCTTCAGGCCGGCAGGGGTGAGCTGAGAGGGCAGACTGCAGCTGCTCGGGCTGGTCCAGCCATTGGCGCCCGGCCCCGCCCCCAGCGCGCTCCGGCCCCGCCCCCAGCACGCTCCGGCCCCGCTCCCACCCCCGCTCACCATGACTTCCTTCGGAAAGGGCTCCGCCTCTCGCGGAGCCAGCTCCAGCGTCTGCTCCTGCCACATGCTGAAGGCCCCCGAGTGCTTCGGCGTGTAGCTGGACAGCGCTGCGGGTGCAGGGGACACCGTGAGGGCCTGGGGTGCCACCGCTGCCCTCCCGCCACCGCCCTCCCCGGTGGGCGCTCACCTGAGCTGCCATCTGGCAGCCGAGGACTGTCGGGGCCCACGCTGTTCACGAGGGTGGCCCGGGGCAGGTACAGGCAGAAGGACTGCTCGTCCGCTGCCCCCTCCGAGCTGGAGCCCTCGGACTCTCCCTCCTCTGGCTCCTCAGCCGCCTCCTGTATCAGGGAGCTCTCCGAGGGGTACTCAAAAGTGGTCTGCAGGCTTTGGTCGTTGAAGGAGATCCTCATCTGGGGGTGGGAGCACCCGTCAACAGGACCAGGCCTGGCGGGAAATGCCCCCGCTGCCCAGGAGCCACAAAGCACCCAAGTCCCAGTGAGGGGACAAGGTGAGGACAGAGGCTTCTCTGGTTATGTCAGAGACCCCAAAGAGGTGGGTCTTCCTGCCAGTGGCCGACCCAGGCCAATATGTCCAAACACCTGCACCTGGCCCAGCATCAAGTCCCCGGAGTAAGACACTGGCCCTGAACCACATTCCAGCCTCCTGATTTGACTGTCTCAGAGTCTTGTCAGAGGTTCTCCCCAAGTTCACGGCCAGGGCCCAAGCCAGGACACCCCCATCCCACCTGCCCTGGCTAGCCCTGCCTCCCTCACACCATGTCATGAGGCCAGGGCCAGGATGGTGGCTCTAGGCAGGGCCCAGCTCCTCTCAGCCCCACAGCCCAAGGGCAGAAGCAAACTCCTGATGAAACTGCACTGTCCAGGGAGCTGCACACCTCGGAAGACCCCTGCGTTCTCGGCTCCCAGGAGCCCCTGCTGTTGGCTGGGGCCCTCTCCAAGGCCAAGGTCACGTCCAGGTTTGCGGGGCACCTGGACAATCCTGCCCACCCAGCTGAGCAGGGCCACCTGTCAGGGGCCTGGCACACCTATGGCCTGAGAGGAGGTACTGGTGGCAGCCCCAGGAAGGTGGCACCAAACAAGTGGTGGGCCCTTCCTCCCAGACTCCACAGTTCCAGAGCAAGCAGCCTCAGAGCCCAGACTAGTTCAGAGGAGCAGTGTGGACGACTCAGCGACGCCTCCTTGGTGGGTTTCTGAGGCAGTACCACTGTGGAAGCAGACGCTCAGCCCCTATTCCTAGCACCTGAGGGGCTTCGGGGTGCGGGGCTGAGCCTAGAGGGGAAACTCCTTGGGCAGCCCTAACACCGAGGCCTCATGGCCTGGGGGGCTGCTCAGTAGGCCCACCCTGGACCAGCGAGTCCGTAACGAATACACCGCCTGCCCACAGCAGATGGGAGTGGCCCCGCTGCAGCTCGAAATATTAAACTCCTCCAGGGCACAGAACGCCGCCAGCAGCTCAAATTCCCCTTCTCTGGAAGGAGCTGGAGGCGGGAGCTGTCCCACCAGCACAGGATCCGTATCAGTGGGGGACCCTCCTGAAGAGCTGGGCTCACCTTCCGGCAGCTTCAGAGAAACGGGGGACACGCAGAGGGCTGGCCGCAAACGGAGCCACTGCCCTCCTGAGCCCAACGTCCAGAAAGGAGGACAGGCCACTCCTCCGCCTGCCCAGCAACTCTTCCCCACTCCCGACCACAAGTGCACTCGCTCACGTGTACACACAGCCCCGCACAGCTAGGCCCCCCTGCACCCCCAAGCTCTGAAGCCTGGCACAGCTCACACCCAGAGGCTTGCTGGGTGACTCGGGGACCTGCCCCTGGACCCCCACCCGTCGGTGGCCCTCCAGCCCCTGGTCCCTCGGCTGCCAGCCCACGAGCCCACTCATAACCATCTCTGCAGCCCTGGTCCTGCCACCCCCTTGGGCACTGGGGATGGGGTCACCTGGGCCCCCTGAACTGACTCTCCAGGCTTCAAGGGCAGATGCTAGACAGGATGGGGCTGGTTGGCCAGGGACTAGCCCTCCCCTCCCAGGTGCTGCTGACCCCAAGCCCAGAGCCCCTGGCAACAGGGACCTCCTTCCTGCCCATCCCCCCAAGGAAACAAGGGAAGGGCCCAGTGCCAGGCCTGAGCAGATTAGCATATTGTCAGTCCACGTGACCCGCCCTCCCCAGCCAGCAGGCCGAGGGGGCTGAGCACACAGTGAGCTCCGAGCCTGACACGGCCTGGCTGGGCAGGGACGGGGGCCCAGTCACCTCCCTGCCCCCTCGGTCTGTAGGCCTCAGGGGCTCCCAGGCCTCCTCGCTCGGCAGGGAGCAGTCAGTGGGGCATAGGACACCCATGACTCAGGCTGGCAGCTGGGAGGGGAAAGACTTAGGGCTTGGCCAGGGCCCAGCCCTTCCTGCACCTGCCTGAAGGGACTTTGCCAGGTCGCCCCAAGCAGGGGGGTCCCGCTGAGCCTCCCAGGCAGCACAAGATGCCCTCATTCTTCCTCCACCCGTCCCTGCTGGGGATGCCCAGCTTGGACCACCAAACGGTGTCCACCCTGCACTCCAGGCTGCAGAACTGGCCAGCCGGTCCTGCCCTCACCCCCCACCCCCACTGTACATGATGGCCGGCCATCAGCCGAGGGCTGCCCAGGGGCACCACACAGATGCTTCCCGATGCCTCCCTGAGGCTGAGCGCTGCCGCTGCCCGAGGCCAGAGTCCTGGCCACAGGGACAGGAAGCGGAGCATGGTCCAGGCCTGTTCAGGCGTCACCTGGCTCCAGGGAGATCAGGAGAGAGGGCCTTCAGGGAGAGCTGGGGGAGGGGGGAGGGGAGAGCCCACCCGTGGCACAAGCCAAGCTGCCCGGCTGGCTTCCGTCCGCAGAGGAGGGCTCTGCCAGGGGAGCGGGCATCGGGGGGATGCCAGCCAGCATAGCCCTCGAGACTGTGTGAAGGTGGCATCACCTGGAAGAGTGTATGGGGAAGGGTGATGTCCAGGGCTGGTCAGGAGATATGCTCACTAGAGTCCAAAGGTCAGAGGTGAGGCTGAGGGCCAAGGGTGGGCCCCCAGGTAGAAGGGCCACTACCCCAAGCTGAGGATGTGATGGGGCGGAGAACCAGGATTCAAGGACAGGGGATGGAGGACAGGCAGGAACAGCAAGCAGGTGGGGACCGGCAGGGGGTGTTTCACAGAGAAAGAGTGATCATAAAAGAGCGGCTGATTCCCTGTGGCTCAGCAAGCAGCCTGGGCCCAGGCCAGCGCGCATGTCATGGGAGGTGCTGCTCCGTGCAGCTGTCAGCTAGAAGCTTGGCCAAGGAGGAGAAATAAGCAGTCTGTGGATTTTGCCACCAGATAGCTAAGTAGGGACGTGTGCATGCCAGGGGGGCTCCCCGCTCACAGGCCGCAGGGAGAAGGGTAGGGGCCCCCTCAGCGCTGCTCGAGCACAACAGAGCCCTCAGTGGGTGGCCCCACCCCCACCCCACCCCCCTGCTGCCCACAGAGCAGCCAGGAGAGGCAGTGGGGCCTCCCAACAGCACCCCGAGGTCAGTAGGAGGACACGCCCAAGGGGCCGGCCACCCCCAATGTCCCCACAGGCTACGGGGCTCCACACTGTAGCGCCCGCCCATGTCCTCCTGGGGGAGAGGGCGACGAGCAGAGACCCAGCAAAGCCAACATGAATGGTCCTACAGCACCTAGGACACGTGTCAGGGAGGGGTCCTGCTGTGTCCCCTGCCCTGTGCTGAGCAGTCACGTGGCCCCTGGGGCCTGTGGGCAGGAGGGATGCTCAGGAAGGCGGCCTAGTGCCCTGAGCTGGCTCTCCTGCAGGCCCATCGTGCCCAAGGCTGCCAGGCAGCCCCCCTGCACGTGCCACTTTCTGCCAGGTGGTGCTCTGCCAGACAGGAAGGCATGGCCGGCAGGTCCCCACCTGAACCCTCAGCCCCTTGGCTGTCACAGAAGCCAGTGCTGAGCCTCCATCTGGACACTCAGGCTGTGCCAGGCTGCTTTGTCCCTCTCCTGGCCTGGCCAGGGCCTGCTTCCCAGTAGTGGCCCTGCTTCCGATCACTTCTTCCTGCCCTGCTGGGCTCTGTCCTTTGCACTAGGCCCCAAGAGTCCCCCACAGCTCTGACCCCAGCCTGGAACAATGGCCTTCGAGCCCCAAGGTAGACACGCAGCCCAGGGCTCAGAGTAGGGGCTCTAGAACAGCGGTCTGACTTGGAGTCTTACTCAAGAGCTAGTGACCTGCTCCAGTCACCTCAGCTTCCATATCTGTGACTCAGGGGAGCTGTTAGCACCCCCACCATGGTGAAAAGAGACAGCACTCAGACCAGCCTAGGTCAAGGGTCAAGGCAGACAAGAGGGTGGGGGCAGCATGGGGAACAGCCATGGGGCTGGGGCTGGGGGTTGAGGCACTGGATCAGGGGGCATGGACATAGAGCTCCTCTCCCCAGAGGGTTCAGGACAAAGGGCAGGGGGCGGGCAGGGGCGGTGTCAAGGGGACCAGCCCAAAGCCACCCCCCGAAGCACTACAGGGAGACAGACCTCAGAGGAATGCCCAAAGCCAGGAGGGAGGAAGGCACAGGGAGGAGGGTGATGCCATAGCCAGTGGCGGAGGGAGCTGAAGGCGGGAGAAGATGGGAATGTGGCTGGGGGCCACCGAGACACCCCATCACCACAGGGAAACTGAGGCTGGGGGAGGCGGCCTCAGGAGATGGGATGGGCGCGGCCACGGGTGACAGCCCTGGCACCCACCCAGTACTGGTCAGGCCCACCTGCCTGGAATAGCCTTGGAATTTGCCCCGGGAATAAGCCAGTCACTGGAATGACCAGGAAGGATCTAAGAAACATTTGCTTGTGCCTAAAGAGTTCCAGGCAACCAGGCAGAGCCGGGTTCCTCCTGAGAGCCCAGCACCTGGGCTCTGCTCAAGGCAGCTCTCTCTCTGCAGGCAGGTCCCGTCCCCAGCACCACTGAGTGCCAAACAGGCCTGACATGCATTAGGGGTTCTAGACTTTCATCCAAAGCCAGGTCTCCCCAGCGTCCAGGCACTGAGGGAGGCTCAACGTGCATACCCCTGGGCTGATGGGAATGGGCTGTGCGATGTCACAGCCCCTGTGCCCTTCCACCAAGGTCCTGGCCCCTACACATGCTGGAGCCCCACGAGCCTCAGCCAGGACCAAGAGGTGCAAGCTGCTTCTCCCAGCTGCACCCATGACAGGCCAGTCCTGGCTAGTGCAGGCCCTGCCCCACATACCACCAGACCAACCCACACACACAGCCCTGCCAGGTACAATGGACCAGCTGTCTCCATGCCCATGGTCATCAGTCTGGCCCTGTTCTCCCACGGGGCCCCCAGAAGCCTTTCGTAGCCTGCTCCCAGCTGAGGGGCCCCGCCCCCACCACTGACCTTCTTTCTCGAAGAAGAACTGGCCTTGCTGAGGCAGGACTTCTCCAGGGCCAGGTAGCCACCGACCACCTCAATCTCGTGCACTGTGGGGTAACGCTTCTTGAGTGTGGTCCCCAGGGGGCCAGGGAGCCCCCCGCCACTGCCTGTCTCCTCCTGCTCAGCCTCTCGTCGTTGGGCCTCTGCACTGGCCTGGCCAGAGTGCTGCTCCCCCAGAGCCCCTGGCTTCCTCTTGGGCACTACCATGAAGGTGTTGCCACCATGGGGCTGGGGCATGGTGGGATGTGGGCGGTACCGGGGAGGCAATTTGGCTTCCTGGCTGATCTCCTCGTCTGAGTCCACCTCATCAATGAAAGTGACCGGGAGTCCTGGTCTCCCCGGCTCCCGGCCATTCCTGGCCAGGCCAGGAGCCCCAAAGCCTGAGGCAGGCTGGGCTTCTGTGGCTGCCTGCAGGGAGGGGGGCGGCGATGAGGGCCTTTGCCACCTAGGGTCCCGGTCCACAAGGGCTGTGGCTGGCCTGCAGTAGCCCCCCTCCTGCACTGGCCACAGAGCCTCAGCCCCCAGTGGGGGCCTCCGGCCAGCAGGAACACCATCCGCTCCAGGCACCAGCTGGCCTTGGGGCTCTCCGGGCTTCAAGGCCCAGCCCAGCCCTCCGTTTGGCTGTTCCACGGGCTGTCTTCCTCCGAGATCACGGGTCGCAGAGGTCTTTCGCTTGGGCATGAACATGAAGGAGTTTCGAGAGCTCATGCGCAGACTAGCCAGAGCTCGGGCCTGGAGATCACCAGCAGGGATGTTCTCCAAGTCTGGTTTGGGAGCCGGTCGTATCTCGAAGGAGTCATTGGAGCTGGTGGCCGCTGAGACCCACTGGCGCTGGCTGGGAGTGGCACTGGCAGGGCTGGGCGCAGGGAAGGCCGAAGGCACGGCTGGAGTGGCACTGGGGGTTCCGGGACTGGGGGGTGGGTAGAAGAGGGGCGATCCCGATTCCCCCTTTGGCTTCCACTCGCCAGCGCTCTGGGCAACGCTAGGGGGGACTGGCCCCGGCGGGGGGCTCGCGATGCCGTTGGCAGGGCTGGTCCGGGGCTCGAGAGCCGCGGACCCGTTGGGCAGTGGGCGCGCGCCCGCGCTGCGGGGCAGGCCCCGCGGGTGCACGGTGAACGAGTTGTTGCCTGTTTTCTGCAGGAAGTCGCTGCGCCGGGCTCCGGGACCCGGGCCGGCCACGCCGCCGCCGCTGCGCTCCCTCTCGAACCGGGCGGCGCGCTCACCCAAGCGCGGGGCAGCCAGCGGGCCCGGGATCGTGGGCGTAGGCTTTGGCACCCCCTTGGGCGGCGATGGGCGGGCGCGCTCAGGGCTCCCGCGGCGGCGCGGCGGGGAGGGCG